ACAAAAATTAAGAAAGTAGCGCATTTTATTCATCTGGATTTTTATTATTGAAATTTGTAGAATTTTAGATGAAACTAAACGCCCTAAAAAGGAAGCAAACCAGCACAAGAAGTACAAATCCAAGATTTTAGATGGCAGAAAACGGAGCAATGTGCAGCCACAAGAACCATTGAAGCCATCAACAAGCTTCAAAGAAATCAGATCCGATCATATCTAGAAATTCGACACACACAGTGGGGTGAATGCCAAGTTACGCGATTCAAAGACGATAATGAGATGAAAGAAACTAAGCGAGCAAAATAAAAAGACAAAGAAAAGAAGTAAACCCCGATCGAATCCGAGTGCGAGCTTTTAAAGTTAGAGAGAAGGTATACAAAGTTTTCGAAAAACATTTCTCTCTATATATATATATATATATTTTTTTTTTTTTTAACGGGCTAAAACATGCATGTATGCTTACTTGTGCATGATTTTTAAAAAAAAATAAATCTCAGGTATTTTAGATTATATACTTGATTAAAAAATAAAATAAAATCTCTATAGATTTTTGATTTTAAATAAGATAAGTCCACTGTAAAGTTAGTACATTAAAAAAAAAATCACCTACGCGAACAATAAATTTTAGAAATACATATCAGATATTTGAGAATATTTTACTAGGTTCTATAAAAGGTTCAAAACAAATAAGATTTACAGAATTAATCAGATTTACTGATTTTTTAGAGTTTTACTCTTTATTCTTATTAATTACAGTATATAAACACATTCGACAACTCTCTAACAATTCCCGAATTCCACTCCTCTTTCGTTTCTTAAAAACCCTAACTAAATCACGAGAAAGACAGAGAAAAACACAAAAGACCTATAGAAAAAAGACTATGCCTAGTTACGAAGATCTTGATCTTTACGCTGCGGAGAATGGCAATCGCTTAACAAAGTTAGATATTTTGGCCTATGTCGCAAGTAAGATATACGAAGAAGAACAGCTTGAAGGAGAATCCAAACTCAACACGAAGACTCTCTCTGGAGAAGAAGAAGAAGAGGAAGAAGAAGAAGAAGAAGAAGAAGAAGATGAAGAAGAAGAGAAGAACAAGAGAATCTTCGAGCTCGTCCCAAGAAAACCAAGGAGTTCAGTGAAGAACCGTCCTACTTCTTCAATACTATTCGTTGAAAAGAAGGAGACAACGAAAACCCCACCAAACCCTAACTCCAAACCATCTCCGTCTCCGTGCAAAACGAAGAAGACAAGCCGCAAGAGACGTGCCGTGCAAGAGAGAAAGCCTAGTGGTGGTAAAGCCAAGAAAGCAAAGGTTGCTCCTTTCTCTTGGAAAGAGAGAGCGACTCCGGAGTGCCTAACACAGATGATGAATCACATGAAAGGACCCAGAGGATACGAAATAACCGAAGGTCCAAGGCTCATCTTGGAGAAGAAACTGACCGCAACAGATATTAGACCAGACCAGAGCCGTCTCTTGATGCCTTTCAACCAACTTTCCCGTAACGACTTCTTGAGCCCTGTGGAGTTGGCAACCATAGAGGAAGATGATGACGATGTAGAAGATGACATGAAAGATCAAGATGGCAAGAAAGTAGTCAGAAAGAAGGGAATTGGAGCGATTCTAGTGGATCAGCGGAATGTTGAGGTGGGTTTGATTTTTAAGAAATGGAATATGAAGAAAAAATCAGGAAGAGGAACCTGGAATTACTCTTTAACTTGCGGGTGGAACGATATCGTTGAGGGCAATGGATTGAAAGTGTACGACGATATCAGTATTTGGTCTTTCAGGTGCCATAACGTTCTCTGCTTTGCCCTTGTTCTTCCTCCTCGTGATGTATGACAGAGTACCTCTTCTCTCCCTCCTTGTCACTGACAAGTTTCTTGTGTCTGTTATTGATTGATAGATCTATTCGAAAAGTGATTTAATTTTCATGCGATTTTGGAGGTTTTTGGTCTAGTTACAATTAGGGTTTTTCTAGCAGTGTGATTATTTTTCCTATATTTTTTTTGTTTTTGCTTTTCGCAACCATTGGAGTGTGATCTTTACTATTATATGATTTATTATTTTGACATGAGTCTGGTTTTTTGCCTACTTTAGTTACTGCATTGATTTCTTGTAATATCGTATATTCGTATGTATGAAGTTCAACATTTGACATGAATCTGGTATCTTGTTTGGTCTACTTTAGTTACAGCATTGATCAATTACATAGATGGATTTAACGTAATTCCATAATGCAGTAACTAAACATTATTACCAACCAAAAAAGAGAGAGAGAGCAAATTGTAAAGATTTTTTTTTGTTAACAAAATTAGTTTTTAAAATCTAAAATTTACACGTTTGAATATCTAATAATATATATTATTTTTTAAAATCTCAATCTTTTATGGATATATATTCAACGAATAATTATCGGCTGAAACCCTAGTTAGAAAAACTCTATAATTAACCAAAGCAGTTAATCAATTTGAGACACTACAAGAAAACATGTCTGTATCCTACAAAATTTCGATAGAACATTTTTTTCACCATATTCTTATGCAAATACGACGAAAAAGAGAGGTACAAGGAAATTCGTAGGAAATTACCTACGAATAAAAATCGTCAAAAAACTGGTAGGAAACTTCCTTCCGATAACCTACCAAACTCAACTTCGTAGGAAAACATGTCGGATTATGGTATCTATGTCGTAGGTTAGGTTATGACTTTTAGATTTGTCAGTTTTTCGTCGGAATTCTACTACGCGTTTCTGACGAAAATGTTTTTGTAAGATTATCGTAAGATATCTGTAGGAATGTATCAGATGTTGCAAAAAACTTAACTCTGCTTTGTCCCACATCGGAAAATTGATAAAATTAAGCTGAGAAAACTGCACTATAAATAACAACTTTCTGTTTCCTCCATCTAACACTCACTTTATCAAGTGTAAGACCTATAGTGTAAAATATACATCAATTGGGCCTATTTTCAAACATGGAAAATAGTCATTCACGAGCGTGGATGTATAATGATAGGTGGGATACAGCTACCGGGAAAATTACAAATGAGTTTGTCATATGACTCACTGAGTTTATGCATTTTGCAACAAACCAGGAAACATGCTTAAACAGCGGTAAAATAGTTTGTCCTTGCTACGTTGTGATAATAAAAAATTTATTACTGTAGATAAAGCGTGGAATCATTTATATAATTACGGGTTTACGCCAAATTACAAATTTTGGTATTATCACGGAGAGAGAGATGTCGTGATTGACGATAGTACTATTAGACAAGGCAGTGAAATAGAGAGGTCTGAGGAACCTAGGATGCAAGTACAAAACATAAGTACGCTCCAGATGGTTAATGATGCGTTTATGGAATATGAAAATAGAGTAGAAGAGCCAAATTCTGAAAGAAGGCAATTTTTCAATATGTTAGATGCAGCAAAGCATCCCTTATACGGAGGTTGTAAGGTAGGTCATTCTCCTTTGTCAACTGCAACACGAATTATGAATATCAAGACGGACCACAATTTGTCTGAGGATTGTGTTGATGTTATTGCTGATCTTGTGAAAGATATATTGTTAGAAGACAATCTAGCACCAGCCTCATATTATGCGATCGAGAAGCTTGTTTCTGGTTTAGGTTTGCCATATCAGATGATCGACGTTTGCATTGACAATTGTATGATTTATTGGAAATCAACTGCTGACTACTTGGAATGTCGATTTTGTGGAAAACCTAGATTTCAGAATAATGGTGGAAGGGTAAGAGTGCCGTTTAAACGTATGTGGTATTTGCCATTATCAGATAGGATGAAAAAGTTATATCAGTCAAAGCGCACAGCAGGGCCTATGAGATGGCATCAAGAACATTCTAATGAGGGAGAAATAACACATCCGTTAGACGCAGAGGCATGGAAACATTTTCAAACAGTTTATCCATTGTTTGCATCTGAGAGCAGGAATGTATATGTTGGTCTATGTACGGATGGTTTCAACCCATTTGGGAAGCATGGGAGAAAATATTCTTTGTGGCCAATCATTGTCACTCCTTACAATTTGCCTCCATCATTATGCATGAAACGAGAGTTTCTATTCCTAACGGTACTTGTACCTGGTCCTGAACACCCAAAGCGGTCTCTTGATGTGTTTTTACAGCCTTTAATTCATTAATTGCAAGATATTTGGGAGCATGGGGTTCAAGCATATGATGTGTCACGCCAACAAAATTTTACAATGCGTGCAGTTCTAATGTGGACCATTGGGGATTTTTCAGCGTATGGAATGTTATCTGGATGTACAACACATGGAAGGTTATCATGTCCATATTGTCAGGACAATACAGATGCTTTCCAATTGAGAAATGAACGGAAGACTTGTTGGTTTGACTGTCATAGGTGCTTCCTACCAATCTCGCATCCTTATCGCCGGAACAGGAGGTTATTTATGAAAAACAGAGTTGTTCTCGAACCTCCTCCGCCTGAGATTGATGGTAATCAGCTATGGAAGCAATTTCGAGATTTTGATGTTGATACAACAGCAGAATGTGGGGGTAATGGACATGTCATGGTGGGCGGTTATGGAGAATTCCATAATTGGCACAAAAAGAGTATTTTCTGGAATTTACCATATTGGAAGCATCTTTTGTTGAGACATAATCTTGATGTAATGCATATTGAGAAGAACTTCTTCGACAACATCATGAATACCGTCCCAAATATCCCGGGGAAAACGAAAGACAATTTAAAGTCAAGGTTAGACTTACCACATTTATGTGCCCGTGAAGCTCTACATGTATTAGAAAATGGAAAGACTTCAATCCCGAGTTTCAGATTAGATGGAGATTCCAGAGATGAATTTTTTCATTGGATTATCAATAATGTGAAATTTCCAGCCGGTTATGCTTCTAACTTACACAACTATTTCCGTAGTAAACAGCCATTTCCTACGATTAACTGATAATATTTTCTGTAGGAAATAGCCATGTTTTCTTGTAGTGAGAATATTTAAAAGAACCATAATGGAGAACAAAGAGAAGCTTGCATGGGATTTGATTGAAGAGATACTCTCTCGTGTCTCTCCTAAATCTCTCGTCCGCTTCAGAATTGTATCTAAACAATGGAACGCTCTTATCAACGACAAGACGTTCATCAACAGCCACAAGAAGACGTTTCGATTCATCTTAACAACCAAATCCAAGATTTATTCGGCGAGCATCGATCCGAAGATAGAGGTGCGTGAGTTGACTTTAGATATTCCAGGTTTAGAATCTCAGGAACCTAAAAAACTGATAGATTGCAATGGGTTCTTGCTTTGTGTCATGGATAAAGGAGCCGTGGTTTGGAACCCTTGGTTAAGACAGACTAGATGGATCGAGCCCGAGGTTAACCAACCTAATTTACAATTCAATGGCATAGGTTATGATAAACATAATGGTTACAAGACCTTTGCGTCTTATCGAAAGGAGTTAGATCCAACCAAGACATTTTGGAAATTCCATGACCTTTCCTCAGATGCATGGAAGGACCAATCTGATGGTAGTAGTACTCAGGAAGGAGAACGATGTACTTTTCTCACTTCAAGTGGTGTGACGTTGGATGGAACTTTGTATTGGGTTGGTTCTTTTGCGAAAACCCAATACTTATACTTGTTCTTCCTACTTCTCCTTGATTCTTCGACGGACAAATTCTACAAATTTTGTGATCTACCATGTTTAGAGAATCATAATCATGATGCTATTGTTCTTCAGGTTTTTAGGGGAGAAAGGTTTTCTTTGTTAAAGCAGTGTAGTCTAACAAAGAAGATTGAGATTTGGGTGACCAAGAACAAGATTCATAAATGGGGTGGTAGAGATGTGGAATGGATGAGTTTCATGGAAGTGTCAATTCCTAGCTTGCCGGATTTAGTACAGGCTGGATCCTACTCTCAGCCAAGTTACTTCATTGACGACAAAAGGCTTGTCGTGTGTTCTTGCGATGAAACTGGTTGGGCTTGAATCTATGTTGTGGGGGATAATAAGTTGATCAGTAAAACCAAAATAGATCTTGTGGTTGATCCTTGGCCTTTGCATTGTACCTTTTTCCCCAGTTTGGTCTCGGTTCCTCAATGTCAAAGAGAATAAGCAGAACTGCAAGTTTAATTTCATTACGTTCCGCTTCTTGTGTGGTTCTTGATGAAGCTTAAATTGATTTGGATTTTGTTTTTTTTTTTATCATTCATTTTTTTATTATTATTCAGGACCATATTCTTTGTTGCGACTAGAGATGTTGCTAAATCTCCTTTTTCTTTTGCTTGATTTGGTATAATAATTTATTTTGGAATGTTTCAACTGATACAATCCTTGATCATAACTTGACAATCGTTTGCAACGCTTCACATTGCTAGTCTTCAAGCAGGCTGATACTCTGGTTCTCACCAAAGCTACTTCATTTGATCTCAGACTAAGTTACATCAAAATATCCTACGGCACATAAAAGATCTAACAAACATGAGTCATCAAAACGAATCCAACATCCATGCTACTTTTAAATATGACAAAAACTAATAAACATATGGGACTGAGCTTGAGCCCTTTTTTTTATCCAAACCCATAAACAACTAAACATTCATAGAAAACGGAACAATAACTTGAAGTCAGAACGCAATGCTAGGCTTTTTCTTTCCTCCTCAAAACCAGCAGCTCAAATTATCCTTGAGATTCAAAAGTTATTCGAAGTGAATATGCCAGAAGATCCGAACAAGCTCAACTTAAAGAATCTTATATCTCTACGTAGTTCTGATACATCCAATGGTCTCCCTCTTACCGAATCGATTGATTGATTAGTCATACTATATCTTCTTTTTGCCTTCAACGTGGGTCTCTCTTTCCTAGTTCCTATGTATTCTGGTTCACATTCCTCTATACTTGTTGCAAGATCCTTTTCCATTTTTACTTGTAAGCTCTAAATAGTATCTATGTCAAAAAGAAAATAATATCATTTTTACGTACTCTTACCGTTATTTGACATACTTGATTGACTGTCTAACAAACTTGCACGATTTCTAAATCTCAAGATTAGATCGAAAATGGGCATCGGTCATACAAAATAACATTACAATATACGTGCATATCATTCATATACTTACGAGTCTACTGTGTGAATATCTCACAATAGAAGCTTTCCAATCTTTCAAGAGAAACCAACGAAATTACACGAAAGATGTGTTATGCAAGTCCTTACTTTGACACATTTAAAGCAAAGGGAGGATATGTTTATGTGAACATTGTCAAATCACTCTTTTTTTGTAGTGCAATATCCCTTATCAATATCTGAAAATCTGAGCATGCCACCGCTATACTGTATATTGTTTATCACTTTGTTCTTCACTCTAGAAAAAATAAATTTCTGAAAAGTTTGCCACAATCTGCAAAAAAAAAAAGTTGAAGACAAAATATCATAATCAAACAGAAAGGTATGACCAAATTGTTTATCCTGTTTTTCATACTAACTTTGTTTAGATTTTCTTACCCAGATTAACAAAGAAGATTGAGATTTTGGTGACAAGGAACAAGATTCATAAACGGGGTGGTAGAGATGTGGAATGGATGCGTTACATGTAAGTGTCAATTCCTAACTTGCCGGATTTATTACAGACCGTGTTCAATGACCAACAGATCCAGCCAAGTTACTTCATTGACGGTAAAAGGCTTGTCATCTGTTCTTACGACGAAACTGGTCGGGCTTGGATCTACGTTGTGGAAGACAATAAGTTGATCAGCAAAACCCTAGTAGATCTTGTGGTTGATCCTTGGCCTTTGCATTGTACCTTTTTCCCCAGTTTGGTTTCTGTTCCTTGAGGTCAAAGAGAAGAAGCAGAATCATTTTCATTACGTTCGGCGTCTTGTTTTGTTTTTGATGAAGCTTAGATCGACTTGGATTTTGGTGTTTCTTATTCATTACCATATTCTTTGTTGCAACTAGAGATTTTGTTCAAAAAAAAATTTGTTTGGGGCATAATAAATTATTTTAGATGGTTCAGATAGCAAACTAAATTGAATGTTTAGCAAACTGAGTTTAACTATAGTGGTTTTGACTTCCATCCGGAAGTAATATTCTTTTGAATAAATTTGTCAGCCAACACTTGTTTAATTACTAAGGCTTAATGAAGAGTTTTCTTTTTTGATAAAGGAAAATAAAATTCTGATAAAAAAAAAGAGAAGGAAAAATCAAATAAAAGAAATAATAAAAAATTGAGAACATGGATCTCTTGTGAATATCAGAATATCTAATAACAGATTACAGTTTCTTAAAATCCAGATTCGTTGTAAATAAAATAACAAAAGGAGAAAAATATGGATCTTTGATTTTTGGAGAAATATTATTTCACGAACTATACTAGTTGTAACCCTAATTGAGAAAAACTTTATATAAGTAAAGTAGTCACTCAGAAAACAGTAGTGACTTAAATAAACTGAAAGATCCAAATGGCGAATAAGGAGAAGCTTCCATGGGATTTGGTGGAAGAGATCCTCTCTCGTGTACCTCCTAAACCTCTTGTCCGATTCAGAACCGTTTGCAAACGATGGAACACTCTCTTCGACGACAAGGCGTTCATCAACAACCACAAGATGACGTTTCGATTCATTTTAACAACGAAATCCAAGATTTATTCTGTAAGTCTCAATCCCGAGATAGAGGTGCGTGAGTTAAACATCCCTGGTTTAAATCTTCCTGACCAGGAACCTGAAGACTTGGTCGATTGCAATGGGTTATTGCTTTTTGAAATGAGTAGAGGAGCCGTGGTTTGTAACCCGTGGTTAAGACAGACTAGATGCATCAGCGAGCCCGAAGGTAACCAAACTAGTTTGCATTTTCTTGGCATAGGTTATGATCATAATAGTAGTAGAGCTGAGGAAATTGTTTACAAGACGCTTTCGGTTTATCGTAAGGACGTAGGCTATACCCATGCGTGGAAAATCCATGACTTTGCCACCGATTCTTGGAAAGACCAAGAGTTGGAAAAAGCAAAATCTAGAACACGTCCTAGTAGTAGTGGAGTTATAGTTAAGTTACACTCCAAAAGAGGTGTATTGTTGAATGGAAATTTGTATTGGGTTGCTTCTTACACGACTCGTCCCCGGTTCTTCCTAATTAGCTTCGATTTCTCGAGAGAAAAATACTCTAGATTTTGTGGTCTACCATGTGGGGAGAACCATGATCTCGATGCTCTTGTTCTTAGGGTTTTCAAGGGAGGCCGGTTTTCTCTGTTAAAGCAGTGCCATGTAACAAAGAAGATTGAGATTTGGGTGACCAAGAACAAGATTAATAACCGGTATGGTGGAGAAGTGAAATGGGTGAGTTTCATGGAAGTTTCAACTCCTGAGTTGCCGTATTTAGAACAGAATTATCGCAAACCCTACTCTCAGCCAAGTTACTTCATCGACGATAAAAGGGACGATAAAAGGCTCGTCATGTGTTCTTGCGATGTAATTGGTCGGGCTTGGATCTATGTTGTGTGGGGGAATAAGCTGATCAGTAAAATCCAATTGGATTCTGTGGTTGATCGTTGGCCTTTGCATTGTACCTATTTTCCCAGTTTGGTCTCGGTTCCTGGAACTCGAAGAGAAGAAGCAGAATTACAAGTTAAGTTTTCTTTCGTTTGGCTTCTTGATTGGTTGTTTCGGAAGCTAAAGTGTTGTTTTGCTTTTTTGTTTGGCAAAATAAATTATTTTTGATTGTTCAGAGCAGACTAGATTGAATGTTCAATGGAACCATTATAATTCTAGTAGTCGTGAGTTCGGTTCGGAAGTTATTAACTATCTAAGAATTTGTTAGCTTTCAGTACTTGTTGTTCGATTGCTAAGCTTTTGCGATAGTTTGAAAATGATGGTTTTGTTTAGATCTTGGAACAGAAGAGTTTTATACATATAGTATATGTTTGTTATCATCATGTGTTCCCAGTTTGAGAAACTGTATTGTGTCAACATGAATTATACAAATAGAAAATGAACCATTTGTATTAAAGAAACATGCATCATCACAATCAGTAACCACCACCATCTTCCCGATTGTGATTTACAAAATATTCATTGCATTTACTCAGTGCCGTGCGAAGATGTCTACAGGCTTGAGGCGAGTTTAAAAAAAGGGTGATTTGCATCAATATTACTTCTGCGAGCGCTAATTAGGCGAATGATTACGAAAAACAGTCAGTTAAGTTAGTAACAGAAGTCAACCAAAAAAGAGGGAGAGAAATTACAGTATACCCCTTGCTCCCTAAAAGTAGACAACGCTTTTTCTGAACGGGACAGGGACCACACGAGCTTGCTAATTCGCAGACGCTACCTTCCCTTTTTAACACTAACAACGTTAACTTTATCCCCAAAATAAGTTGTCGTGTAGTAAGAGTTGTACGGATAGGTTTAGGGAGGGGACCCTCAGGACCATCAAATAAATAGAGAAGAAGATAACAACTCACATAATCCGCCGCTAGTAAACAATTTACCTAGGGTTTGTCTACTTGTTTGTGTTCGAAAGGTATGACTACTTGTACGCCACTAATGTGACTACTTTTTATTTGTAGTTACATACTTATTGGACATTGGTCTTGTTGTTGTAGATGACAAGAAGACAAATGGTGTTGTTGGTGAAAGGAAAATGGTTCGAACAGAGCAACGGCATGTGGACTAACTTAACGGAACGGACTGGGAATACCAAAACAGTATTCCTTAGCGCGAGGATGACATTTCGTGAGGTAGTGAAGCTCGTGAAAGAGAAAATGGATATCACGGAAGATGTGGACGTAACTCTGACCTTCCAGTGGCCGTCATACATGCTTTGACAAACTGGACAGTACATCTTAGATCAAATATCAGCTTGAAATAGTTAGAGTAGTCGGTTACTTTGAAAAATGTCTATTTATAATTGACTATATGCAAAATGTCTATTTTTGACAAACTATACAGTACTTCTTAGATCGATAACAGCTAGAAATAGTAGGAGTAATCAGTTACTATGCAACATGTCTATTTATAAGTGACTATCAATAAGTTTAGTTAGAGCATGTATCGTTAGAGTTCTTGTATGTCTGATATACTAGGTTATAATGACCATCTACTAATAGTAGTCGCCTATATATATATGAATATTATACTGGGTGTGGTTATCATACCTTCTGAGACTTGTCAAGAGACTTGACATGCGGCATTGAGATGTTTACGGGTTTCATAGAACCAGGACGTATACTGGGGGTATCGTCGTCCTCATCCTCTTCATCCACCAAATTAGGTTCGCTTGATTTTCCTTTCAGATCCTTCTTGAGAATAGCGGGAGCACATTCCAAAATAACCATTTGTAATGCATGTATAAACCCCTGAAATGCACACGTCGGCTGGCAAAGGTAAGATGTCGTCGCCGTCCTTGTTTTGATGCTGTGTATGGTCAAATCAAAAGATTTCCGACCCCATGGGTATTCCAGGAATTTATCAACATCCTGCACCATCATAATGTGCTCGGCACTTATCTTTGCATTCCTAGAAGTTGGGCATACAATCCCATCGATAAGAAGTAAGCAAGCTAGCTTAAATCTAGTCTCTTTGTCCTTGTATGGTCTGCCAGCAAGTGTTGTTGCAATCCATCCAGGAGTCGCATTCTTCTCTGAACCAAACAACTCAATAGTCTCGGCATTGACCTGGTCTTCTTTGAGCTTTTTCGCAGGTGGCAACTTGGAGCAATCAAGGCCTGTCGTAATAGCAAACTCCCTAATAGAAAAACGGATTGGCTGGTCAGCGAATAGACACCAAAGCTCTTTTTTTTTCTTCGTAAGTAGCTGCCGAGACAAGATAAAGTGAAGGAATCTAACTGATGAAGCAATCTTGTTACCTGCTTCCATCAGTTTTCCAAACTGAGACAATGAAAGCTTCTCCATATGGTCTTCCTCGAGAGCAAAACTGATTGTGTCAAGATAGGTTAGCTGAAAGTAGGTGTTCACCTTCTTATTCTCCGGTTCGTTGCCTAGGGCAAACATTCTATCTGGAAACCTGCTCATAACTTATCAGCTGAAAAAAAAAACAATGAAACAACTGAAATTAGTAAAATGTATAACATAAACGTCTATTAGTGTTTGACTACTATATAAAAATATTCGGTTGTACATATTGACCGTATACAAAATTCGGATGACCTTATTGTCCATGGTTGTATCTGAACTCCATAACGAATTACTGCTAAACGAAAACTTTCCCTTTTAAATTCATGTTCACATGTAATTGGAAAAGTGATTCAACCCCATAAAAATTCGAAAAACATTTAACCCAAGCGGCACCAAACATAGATCTGTACTCCCGAAAAATCCCCAAAATGGAATAGGGTAATTAGGCTGACCCTACACATGCAACTTGGCGAATAAGCAACTACTAGGGTAATTAGATACTTGTAGACCATAAACCTTAAAATAACAGAGCCCAATTCGAAAAAAATGTAACCGAAGCGGCACCAAACATAGATCTGTACTTCCGAAAAATCCCCAAAATGAAATAGGGTAATTAGGCTCACCCTACACAAGCAACCTGACGAATAATCGACTACTAGGGTAATTAGATACTTGTAGTTCGTAATCTTAAAATAACAGAGCCCAATTCAATTGGGAGTTGTGCGAAGGCGGCGACGACGCTGGGATGTACGAGAATGGAAATTGGTCTATAAGCAAGAGAAGAAAACTAACCCGAAAGAGTGGCACGTGACCGTTGTCGTTACTCGGAGTGGCGGACGGCGCTTCCGGCGCAAACAAAAAAGACGAAGATGTGTGAGCGTCTTTCTAGGTTAAAGAAAAGGGAGTGGGAATGTGAAAGAGAACAGGGAAGAGAAAGAGGGAAATGACAGTTGCGAAAAATAACGTAGGTGTGAGAGGAGAAAGAGGCTATAAATGTGAGATTTTATTGCGGTTTTTTTTTTAAATAAAAAACGGTTACCTTTCCATCCCAAGCAGTTTACATCTCAATATAAAGTAATTAAACTGCCTAAAAACTTACAAATGCTGCAAATGATTTCGTTGGTTATGTTAACAGAGAGGATACCGTTTTACAACATGAAATAGCCAATTACACTAAATATAAAATCAACTGATATAATTTAGAAAGAGTATTCAACTACAAAGAAAGCAATTATAAATAGTCGACTACAATTAGGAAGTGACAACTACAGATAAATGTTTGGATTGTCCAAAACGGAATACATCCAACCTATGGATCTAAAGAGAATTTCACAAGGTGGTAGTGAACGTAGAGGTAGCAGAGTTCACAGTATCCGCCCTGGTGGTTCATACGGCAAGTGGGGAAATCAACAGCAATATGGGGTAAAGATGTATGCGCATCAGGCACCACCATTTTGTCGATCAAAGCCATAACTTCCTCACCAATCTGAGTCATATGCTCAATTGTTGCTCTCCAACCAAAATCACGGTCTAAATTTTCTATGCCTATGGGGTAGTGACCTAATGCGGTTACACATATGGCCATCATTAAGGTCGCCGGTTGAACTCCAGCTTTAGACGCTTGGTTGAAAAACCTTAGAGAACCTTCGATATCATTAGCCATAGTGATTCTGCTCATACCGCGGATATACATACCAAGTGGATTACCTGATGTCACTGCCGCCTCAAAGAATGAAGGGTAGCTCTGAACTAAACTGGGCCTTCTCACGAAAGCTGTAAGGTTGAGAAACCTCATCACAGATGGTTCGTTGATTGTTTGGCTAAAGAATTTGCATGAACAAGCAAATGAGCAAGCGTCTTTAGCAGAACTCCTACCAACTCTTTTAAAAATATCAACGACTGCATCGCGAATCTGAGGAAGAATATCATTTGTCAGTGGTACCAGATCGGGATGTACTTGGGACAACGCAGACCTTCAAAAACAAAAGCAACGAATATTAAGCTACCAAGTATATGGTTACCTATAACTAGCAAAAATAGTAAGTTACTCAGTATATGGTCACCAGTAAACACTTATTTACTACTTAAAATTTAAATGGCATACTTAGTGGTTAACTATTCAGATCTAAAATTTCAGATCTGGATGACGGATGAGAATGGTAGTGGAAAGCGTTTGAAAAAAAAAACAAAAACTGTGAATCAGGACAAATGGCCTAAGGAACCAAACGTTTATGAACCCAAAAATAGGAAGAATAACGACAGATCTAACTTCGAAAAATTAAGAAATCTAGCTCCTGGAAATTAACGACGACATATACCGGTATCTGCGAGTAAAGTCATATAACATTCAACAGACCAAACAAAAACAGAGGTTAACAGTTTACCTTTCAAGCTTCGCTGCGGACAAAAAAGACGGTGGTTCGCAAGATCGGTCCATCGTTGCCGGAGTTTCAGAGAAGAGCTAGTTAGGAATAACGACTGGCGTGGTAGAAGTAAGTGACTCGCCGTATCAAACTCCGGTTTATCGTGTCGGAGTCGGCGAAATAAGATGGAGAACCACAGAAATTATAGAAGAGAGGATCTGGGTGAGGTAGTAGTGTTTTGAAATTCAGTCTGAATTTCAAGGACCGAAGCTTGACTATAAAGACTCGATGAAAAATTTTGAATTAAAACTGATGAAAAAGAAAGATGTCAGACATAATGAAAAACACAAAAACGTATACGTTATTGTTATAAAGATATGCTAGAGTAGAATGCAACTGAGGGGGTTTTGGGTCCTTTCCACCCCATAAAAAAATTAGCTCCTCGACACCTAATTAGCTCTTGCCGTTACGGTACGACACCAAATTTCCCTTAAAATCGACATAATTTTTTAAACTAATAAATGATATAGATAAAATCTAAACTGTTAAAAAATATATTACATTTTCTCTATAAAAATTTTCTCCAAATTATTACAATCTATAACAACGTCTCTGGATAATTATGAAAGAGAATAGAAATCGTGACATAAAAGTGAAGGTCAAAATTATAGATCTACATGTTAGTGACTCCTAAAAGAATAATTAGAAAGTTGGGACTTTTGTTAGAAACTAATCAAACTAATTGGAGAAAAAAAAAACTATTTTTAAACAATAGGAAGAACCAAACTCAGTTAAAAACTCAACAAAAAATGTGCACGAACCATTACACTAAAATTAAATTTTGAGAATTAGGGACTCCAAAATATTTATATTTTAAGGGGTTTGGGGCAAATGCTTTTTTTGATATAACCATAGGCACGGCCCTGCATTTACTATAAATATGGTTATTATATAATTAAATAAATTATGGCTTATTATGATTTATTTTTTATTGGGATAAATGTAAAATTGTATTAAACCTTCAAAAGGAACTTCTATTTACAAAAGATTAAAAATATATATAAACAGCAGCAGAGTAAATATACTAGCTATATTGAAGCCAAATGCATACCTTAGGATGTCGACTGGAATTAGCGGCGATTATGTTTATGATTCTTCTATTGAGCTTTTGTTAATACATCTGCAAATCCGAAATATTCTGTTTTGAGCATCCAATGATACATTTTTAAATGGAACTGAACGACAAGATGAGGAAGAAAAGGGACTTTGCTTTGACAGTACTAGGAAGTTGTTATTATATTGGTACTTTGGCAGCATAATTAAGTACTCGTAAATCTGAAACATTATTAGAAAATGTAGTACTAAAGAGGAGAGAGAGAGAGGTTTATAGTTTAAGTACCATTCAATGTCTGTTTTGTTTCTTGAAATGAAATTAAGAACATACAAAAAGAGTTAATCAAGAATGTCTAAAGCATGGAAACTGAAGTTGCTTCTTCTGCTTCAACTGCTCCTCCTCTTGACTCAACATGGTGTAAATTCAGCCTCTGTGATTAGCTATCTTCCTGGTTTCGAAGGTCCTCTTCCTTTCCACCTTGAAACTGGGTCAGTTTAGTTACATCTTCCTCAGCTTTTTAAGACTCATGACTATCAGTAACACAACTGAATCAGTTTGAATCTTTCTATCTAATGGAAGATACATTGGTGTTGGTGAGGAAGAGAAAGTTCAACTTTTCTACTACTTCATCAAATCAGAGAAGAATCCTGAAGAAGACCCTCTTCTTCTCTGGTTAACTGGAGGACCTGCTTGTACTGCTCTCTCTGCTCTTGCTTTCGAGAATGGTAAATTTAACAAACCAACAAAAAAACAAACTAATAATATTTGACCTTTAATTTATTCTGAAAATCAAGATAATGGTTAATTCCAGGTCCTTTAACTTTCAAGACTGAGGGTTACAATGGAAGTTTACCTTCTCTTATCTCCACTTCATATTCTTGGACAAAGGTGGCTCCTTTATACATTGCCATCACAAACTAGCTTGGCGTTTGTTGCGGTTTTATCGGTTTTAATATTTTTTGATTGGATGATTTCTCAGGTAGCTAATATAATATTCTTGGATCAGCCTGTTGGGACTGGCTTCTCTTACTCGACAACTCCTCTTGCCGAGAAGCCTAGTGATACAAGAGAAGTTAAACAGACTTATGAGTTTCTTCAAAAGGTTCCAAAATATTCCATCGATATCTGTTTCTTTAAGTCGTCTATATATACCTTATTTAGAGTATTTTCGACCGATGTTGATGCTTCTAATGTAGTGGCTAGTGGAGCGTCCAGAGTTTGTGTCAAATCCTTTCTATGTCAGTGGAGATTCTTACGCCGGTATAGTTGTTCCAGCCATTGTTCAACAGATCTCAATAGGTTTGGCCTTTTAGTTTGTCACTTCTCTTCATTTGGTTTTACTAAGCCACTTTGGTCTTACTTAGCCACTTTATTACTTGTCTTACAAAATTACCGTTACACAGGAAATGAACATGGCTACAAACCTCTAATCAATCTTAAGGTTCATCATTATCTTCACTCATATAACTTTATATATGATAGACAGCACTTGTTTGAAACCATCCTTCCTATTAACAGGGTTATGTTCTTGGGAACCCGGCAACACATCTTGATCAAGATAGTAACTTCAAGATTCCATATGCTCATGGAATGGGACTGATCTCTGACGAACTCTATGAGGTATATTGAAGTTGTGGAACTTTAAACCTTCACAGAAGTCTTATTTGATCTCTTTACCATTAAAATGGAAGATTTTTTTCTTGAAATAGTTTCTTGAATGGTTTGCAGTCGCTTAAGATATTCTGCAAAGGAAATTATGTAGAAGTAGATCCTACTAATACACAATGCTTAAAATGGATGGAAGACTACAATAAGGTAAAATTTTACAAAAGGTCTAGTATAGTGGATAGCAAAGACTAATTTGGGACTTTTTTGGTTGATGATTAACAGTGTGTTTCAAGGATAGATGAAGGATTTATTTTGATACCATTGTGCGATATGGCATCACCGAATCCATTTTCAATAGAGAATGTTGAAAGAAGAAATCTTAGAAGACTTGTTCACTCGGATCTTTCTCTTCCAACTCCTGAGTGCTATGTAAGCCAAAGAAAATTAAAGAAAATCCACTTGATGATTGATTTAGTTATAAAATGGAAATCATGTAGTTACTAAACCATAGAGGTGACAGACGTACCGGTATTTGCTAGCTACACATTGGGCTAATGATGAAGATGTACGCAAAGCCCTTCATGTGGTAAAAGTATGTCTTCTTAGTTTTTACATACATAACACACATGTCATAGGCTAATTACTAATAAAGCAACTTACAGTCACTGAATGAATGTGAAATTTTCAGGGAAGTATAGAGAAATGGTGAGATGTGATTGGGATATGGCTTATGAGAAAGACATAAAGAGTAGTGTACCGTAGCATCTAAACAATAGCATGAAAGGGTTATATAGGTCATTGGTTTATAGTGGTGATCATGACATGATGGTGCCTTTTGTTGGAACCGTAGCTTGGATTAGATCTCTAAATTATTCGATCATTGATCAATGGAGGCCATGGTTGGTTAACAATCAAGTTATTGGATACACAAGGACTTACGCAAACAACATGACATTTGCCACTATCAAAGCAAGTCTCTCTTTGTTTCTCATCAAACTTTATTTCTTGTTATCTTTCGACGTTGACGTCGTTGCGTTTCACAATTGGAAACGGTTCTTATATATAATTGGTTTCATTTTACAGGGAGGAGGGTACACTGCAGAGTATAAGCCAGAGGAGAGCTTCATGATGTTTCAAAGGTGGATACGTGGCCAACCTCTGTGACATAGTGAGCTACAACTTTGAAAACCAAATAATAAAGATATGATTAATTTCCTCTTTTCCGTAACCACAAATTCGCCATTTAAAGTTGTTTGCTAATTTATGAAAATTTGCTACAAGGTATGAAGAACTTTAATAAAATGAAATTGAATAACATTAATGATAAAAAAAATGTAATGCACTATTCACGAATCATACAACTAAAATTGCCTCAGGAATGACCGTTGCAGAGTAACAGTCGATCCCTAGTGGAAGAGGATTTTTGTTTTCATGGTATTTTTTATGAAAATCGCGTTTTGAGTTTTCGATTTTGGCCAAGAAGAAATGGAAACCATGAGCATGAAACAGAAACGTCTCGTTTTGGAATACCATATACTGAATAGTATAATTCCTAGTTCCTGCTATGTAAGACAGAATAATACGTACTAGACATTTAAAAGATTTTTTATTTGTATTTTTGGGAAACATTCACATTTTAGTAAAACTAGAACCAAATCAATTTATCTACAATATAGTTCTTGAACCCCTATATCCGAACTACCCGAAACCCGAGTGAACCAAACAAAATACACAGACCTAGCATAAAAACCGGATCTGAACAATTTAGCCAAAACCAACACTAAAAATTTTGGTTCGGTTTGCTCAAAATACCCAATCTGTTATTGAGCCAGAATATTTTGCGTTTTGGTTCGGATAATAACCAAAACCCGAAGTTAAATCCGAAAAACCGAAAGCATGTAGATTTTTGGGTTTTTCAGTTTTCTTATCAGATTTTTTGGTTTTATCCACGTTTATTTTTTTCTCAGGTTTTTTCGGGTATTATTACCATAGTCGCATCACGTGAAAACTCCATAAACAAAAGTTATTTCTCTAAGAAAGCTGAAAAAAAAAAACAACAAAAGGAATAAACTACAACTCCCACAACTTCATCAGTCATCGTTGTTAAGAATCTTGTTGAACTTTTTTTCAGGTTTGTCGCGACGACCGCAACGCATACTCCACGTCTCTACAAAAGAAAAGGACCATGATTATAAAAGCTTATAGAATAATAGAAGACAACTGTAATATATAGATGTGCCAATAAAATCAATGAACTTACTCATATAACCCCGAGTTTTACTTGAAAAAAACAATGATTCACATATGTAATTCGCTCTTGGTGAGGTAAATTTGACAAATCTTGGCAGCTCAAAATATCTAATACCAAAACCGCGCGGCTCATTATATCCAATGCCAGCTCGGCCAACATTAATTTGGAATGATGATGAGCTTTTCGCAAGGTCGGCTTCTCTAAACCACGAAGGAATCACACAGCCCTTGCAACGGTTTGGTTCTATTTTCACATAATTGATGGTGTAGCCACCTGCCGAGTTATTGCCATGTTTTTTCTCTTTAACAGCCACATGTTGTTTACCTTTAACACCCACAGTGCTCAATAGGATTTCGTCTTCAGGCCATGCCCACCGTAGTTCCCATGGCCTTTCAATGTCGTGATTCTTCAAGTAGTTCAAGATTGTGATATTAGCCGAGTAATTGTCAGAACTTTCATTCATGATGTCCCACCTTACCGTCACATGTCCCTCTTGAAACCAATCTATATACGCCGAGAGATAACAAAGAAAAAAAAGCATGAAATTACCATACGATTTAGCTATAAGGAAGAATCACAATTACAATTATAAACCGTACTAGGCATATATCGACCCAATGAAGTCTCCATCAAAAGCAAGATCATAAAGACCAGTTTCGTTGTTGAATATGCACTCCACATTGTGAGTCCCTAGACAACAGACAATTTTCAGGGATTTCTCTTTCAGTCTCTAGTTTTATAACTGGAATTAAGAACATTCTCACTTTTCTTTATATAATTTTTTCATTACATCTGAGCCAAAAAAAAAAAGGTTTGAGGACCTTTTCCTAATGAAATTGAGGCAAAATATTCGGGATAATATCGTTTCTTTTTGTAATATCTATTAATTTACTTTAAAGTTCTAACTCTATCTTAACTCTAATCTTGTTATCGAAAACAGAGGCTACTCCACAATATATTGTTTTATAATATATATATTCTATTATATATCCTTAATTTATGGTTTTTATATAATAAACGTTATACAATGGTGATATTATCTAGTTGACATAGTCGGCATACATTGTTGTTTTAAGTATCCACTTGTAATTATCTCCTTAGATTCTGTAAAAATATATACTTGTAAAAGATTATTCTTAAAAAGAGAATATTTAGCTTCGACCAAAAACAAAAAAGAGAATATTTAACTGATTCTGAATACAGATTATAACTCCAATAATTTTAGAACCAAAAAAAATCGTACAAATTCTCTCTCTTGATTTTTTATTTTATTTAAAATCATTACGAGAGAACCTCCATGTATGCACGGATACTGTTTTTAATTTATATTTTAAATAATTTATATTGAATTTTATGTTTACTATTAATGTTATTTTATTTAAAATATTTATATTTTCTTCGATTTCTTTTTGATGATACATTATTTGTAATCTTTTCTACACTAGTTGTGTCAAATGGTCTAATTTTTCTCCCAAGAAAATAAGGGACTAAAACTCTACTATTTTAATTTTTGTATGAAGACGTAATAGTTAACTTAAAAATATACGTTGAATATCAGAGAAAAATATTTATTTGTTCTTCGATCTTCATATTCTTTTTATTCTTATAAATCTTACTAATATAATACTTGTTAACTTTTTTAATTTACCACTAGATTCTAACCCCTTGCATCCGCACGAGAATGTTTCATTTTTATTTCTAATATAAATTTTTTTAATAGAATTTCATTTTATTATTTATTTCTTTTTAAATCAAGAAATTTGTTATTATGTTTTAACTTTGAATAGTATAAATTTCTATATTAGTAGAATAAGAATATGAGTTAATTAAGTATATATTGATTTAATGTTAATTATGAACTTTGTTATTATGTAAATTTAGATTTACACATAAACAATCTACATATCTATGAATTGGCTAACTGGTCCGTTTAATTATCTCAAATTATTTTTTAATATTTTATATGTTTTGATAAAGTAATACAAATAAGACTGTAATTTATAAATGCATAACTCCAACTTGCTCCATCATATTATTGTATAATATAAATATTTATCAATATTAAATATTTTATACTTTAGACCGATTTATTATGATAAAATACAATAAGATATTCATTTACCATTTGTGTTATTATGAAAATTTTATTTAAAATAAAAAAAAATTAAATTAAAATGTAACCTGTATTTAAAGAATTCTCAAGTAACTAAAATTATTATATAAATTTTCGTAATAAATTTATTTATAATTTTTTTTAATGTTAAATTAAATTAAATCTAAATTTCGTAATTAAATTAATTAAAAAAATTTCGAATAATTTAAAATTTAAATTAAATATAATCTATATTTAAGGAAATCTAACAATATCTAAATTAATAATCAATTTTCGAAATATAATATAATATAAAATAAAATATTTTTAAAAAATTTAGGTCTGTTTGGAAACAGGCACTAAAAGTGCTTCTGTTTTAATATAATAGATTTTGAATTTTTTGGTTATATATATTTTATTGATTCCATCTTTTTTATTTTAAAAAAACCGTATATAACATTTTTATGTAGATATCTTTCTTTTTGCTATTATTTTTAAATAATTTTTATTTCTAATCATTTATTAAATATTCTTCGTGTTTTATAATTTTATTAGTTGGTTTTATATAAGATTAATTTGAAACTTTTTAACTTATTCAGTCTCATATTTTTTTTCCATTTGCATTAAAAACATTTAAAAAATAAAAAAATGATACATTCAAAAAATCTTGTATTATATAATATTTATAAGTTTTTATATATTTAAAATTAAATTTGAATTTCATTATAATACAAATATATATTAATATTTATTTATGTTCTTTAATGTGTTTTAATGTGTTTGCTTTAAATTTGATTTTTTATTTATTTTATTATTTTTTAATAGAAACATGTGGTACTCTCTCCAATACTGATGTGTCACTCAATTGGAGAAAGTTGATCAAATTTATTATATAAGATATATAATCTTACATCAAGACACATTCAAATTTGAGATTATGCTTTTAGTCTAACCCAAGCAGCCAATTTCATTCGTAAACTATAGAAGAAACCAGATGTAAACCTCGAACAAATTCATTTCTCAATAGAATTGATTTAGTCCAATACCAGAGATACAAAGTATCTACATTTCCCAAATTCCATTCACATTCGAGAGTGTGCTTATGCAAAACTCAAGCATACAATATGAACAAAACATCTTAGAATAACGTCACAAAACATCTTAAAAGAATCTCTCAATTATATCCAAAAAATCTGATCAGCGAAACAGATATATGAAGTTGTTATTTTTCCCAGTTAAATGTAGATCAAGAGATAGGACATGACTTAGTTAAAGAGAAGATATACATTACCAGAGTGGTTGTAGGAGTTAAGGTTGCGAAAATTGTTGCACTCCTTGCTGAATTGAACCTTAGCGTTGCCTCTTCCGAACGGTTTGACCAAGAAACAGTTGTAGGTCTTGACGATCTCCCAGAGCAATTGTCCTGGAACTGTTGCCATTTCGAGACCTACGGATACACCAAACCAATCAATACAAAAACGAGTGTTTTATCAAATCATCCCAAATGATAGATAGATGAGAACAATTGAATTGATAGATGAGAAAGGATCTAATCTTAGCGCAAAATTTCGCGGAGAGAGAGAGAGATAGAGAGAGTCGGTTTTAATGGTTGCGCCGGAGCTGTGTGATATGACGATGGAGCTATTGAAGAAATGCCAAACACAAATCAAGAGAAGAATATGAGATACAAAAAATTAAGACTAAAGGAATCTCACAACTGATTGGAAGTGAAGCTTCATCCTTAGAATTTGCTGGATAACTCCTCCAACCATTTGAGTAATGCTCGTAGAATTTTCTGGATAACTCCTCTAACCATTTGAGTAATGCTCGTAGGAAAATGATTCCTGTATCTCGTCCCTGAGTAGAAGCAATAAATCGTGAGGAACTTCGGTTGGTCCAGGGGAGTTTGAAATCACTTGAGAAGATTGTCGCACAAATCAATCAAACATATGGTGGTTAAAAGGTAATGGCCATTGACGGAAACCCTATCGGGGAGATTGGAAGGAATGAGGTAGAGAATGACAGGGTTTTTTTGTAGTTTTTTAAAGAAAATGTTATTTTTTAAATTTATGATTTTTGGAAACAGGTGTCAGCCTCTCCAATACTGACGTGTCAAGTAGCTGGAGAGAGTTCAACCTCTTTTATATATAAGATATAACACGAAAGTATAGTTAATTAATTGATATATGATGTTATTACCGTAATTAATTAAGTCATAGTTTGATTTTAAACATTCTAGTCTCTTGAATTGTGTTTGATGCATATTAAAAGACTGAACCGCTACAAGCTGTGATTCAAACTATACCCATGGACTTTATCCAGGAGATGACAAACAGCGATTTTTGTTCGTATATAGCTCAAATTCAAGATATTCAATAGTTATTGGACTCGGGATAAATCTTTCCACGTAAAGTTATTTTAGTATCATAGGGGGCTGGCTAGTAGTCTAGTGGAAGATCAGGTGATGGTCCAAGATCGTGGACTATATTATAATATCTTTATTGTAAACAAACGACAAGTTGAAGACTTGAAGTATTAATATATGCTTAGCGTAATTAAGTCCTCGGAGATCTTAAAGACCAAACCATAAAAAACAAAAAAAAAATAGTAAAAAGAAAAAAACTCGAACGAGGAGAGAGAATTGGTTTCTGGTTAAAGAGGTTAGAACCGGTTCAGCGCAAAGAGAGGTACGAAAAACGCTAAACCTTGATCGGTTGGCTTTTAAGCAGGTTTTAAGATTTAGTGTAGATCCGAACGGTTTAATCGGTTAAATCAATACCTAACGGAAGGGAAAAAACTATACAGTTGTTCGATTTGTCCAGTCTCCAGAGCGCTAAACGAAACCATACTTTTCATATGTTGAATCGATACCAAACCGGAAAAGACTAGCTGAACCAAAATTTATCAGTTGAATCGATACCAAACCGGAAAACAAACGATTTGATCGGTTCGCTTATTTTGTATTTAGGTAACCATCCTTCTTTACACCGTTTTGTTTCCTAAAATGAAATCAAGAACTTGAAAAGGAGTTAATCAAGAATGTCTAAGGCATGGAAACTGAGGTTGCTTCTTCTGCTTCAACTGCTCCTCCTCTTGACTCAACATGGTGTTAATCCAGCCTCTGTAATCAGCCATCTTCCTGGTTTCGAAGGTCCTCTTCCTTTCCACCTTGAAACTGGGTCAGTTTCCTGATCTTCTTCTTCTTCATCCTCTGCTTTTCAATATTCATGACTAACAATAACACAACCGAAATGATTTAAAATCTTTGCATATTTCTTATGAAAAGCTATATTGGTGTTGGTGAGGAAGAGAAAGTTCAGCTTTTCTACTACTTCATCAAATCAGAGAACAATCCTGAAGAAGACCCTCTTCTGATTTGGCTAACTGGAGGACCTGCTTGCACTGCTCTCTCTGCTCTTGCTTTCGAGATCGGTAATTTCAAGAAAGAAAAAACCCTTAAAAAGATTTGGACTTTAATTGATTCTACTCTTGTTTTAGCCCTCTTGGTTTAGTGCAGGTCCGTTGACTTTCAAAACTGAGGGCTACAATGGAAGTTTACCTTCTCTTATCTCCACTTCATATTCTTGGACAAAGGTGACTCCATAAAACGTTGACGTCACATCACAAACTTACTATAGGCCTTTTTTCGCGGTTTTATCGGTTTCAAGATTGTTGTGTTGATTATTTCTCAGGTAGCTAACATAATATTCCTGGATCAACCTGTTGGGACTGGCTTCTCTTACTCAACAACTCGTCTTACTTATAAGCCTAGTGACACAGGAGAAGCAAAACAGACTTATCAGTTTCTTCAAAAGGTTCCAATATTGCATCAAAACATGTGATTCTTTTTTTAATAAACAAAAAAAATTGATTCTTGAGCCTCTATATATCATAATCTTTTCAATTTTTTTTTTTTTTGTTTCAGTGGTTAGTGGAGTATCCAGAGTTTGTCTCAAATCCACTCTATGTCGGTGGAGATTCCTATGCCGGTATAGTCGTTCCAGCCATTGTTCAACAGATCTCTAAAGGTTTGACTATTTTTTTTTTTTGGGTCATTATCCATATTTTGATCTTCTTTGGATATTATTTTACTTATGCACTTTATTAGAGTCTTACACATTATGGTTACGCAGGAAATGAACATAGCTACAAACCGATGAATCTTAAGGTTCATTAGTTTCTTCACTCATATGTTCAACATCATAACGTTAATATAGATATAAAAAAACTTGTTTAAAAGCATCATTTATACCAACAGGGTTATATTCTTGGGAACCCATCAACAGATCTAGATCAAGATCACAACTCCAAAATTCCATATGCTCATGGAATGGGACTGATCTCTGATGAACTCTTTGAGGTGTTTCGAAATCTTATCTAGTCTCTTCTCTATAAAAATGTAAGAATTTTTATTGAGATCATATTTGAAAATCTTTTTTTACAGTTGCTTAAGAGAAGCTGCCAAGGAAATTATGTAAAAGTAGACCCTACTAATACGCAGTGCTTGAAATTAATGGAAGACTACAATAAGGTAAACACATTCTAGAAATGTCGATAGCAAAGACTAATTTGGGACTTTATCGTTGATGATTATGATGATTGATGATTAACAGTGTGTGTCAAGGATAAATGAAGGATTTATTTTGATTCCATTGTGCGATTTAGCATCACCAAATCCATTTTCAATGGAGAATGTTGGAAGAAGAAATCTTGGAAGCCTTGTCCGCTCGGATCTTTCTCTTCCAACTCCTGATTGCTATGTAAGCCTAAAGAAAATTATAGAAAATTAATTCACTTGATGATTGCTTTAGTTATAAAATGGAAATCATATACCTATAAACCTTAGAGGTGAATTATGCAGATGTATCGGTATGTGCTAGCAACGCATTGGGCTAATGATGAAGATGTACGCAAAGCGCTTCATGTGGTGAAAGTATGTCATTTTACATACATACATGTCATAGCCTAACACTAATAAAGCAACTAAGAATCAATGTATGAATGTGGAATTTACAGGGAAGTATAAGGGAATGGGTGAGATGTGATTGGGATATGGCTTATGAGAAAGATATAAAGAGTAGTGTACCTTACCATCTAAACAATAGCATGAAAGGGTTCTATAGGTCATTGGTTTATAGTGGTGATCATGACATGATGGTGCCTTTTCTTGGAACCCAAGCTTGGATCAAATCTCTAAACTATTCAATCATCGATGAATGGAGGCCATGGTTTGTTAACAATCAAGTTATTGGATACACAAGGACTTACGCAAACAACATGACATTTGCCACTATCAAAGCAAGTCTTTTTGCTTCTTTTTTTCTCATCAAATTTGTTTTTTTTTGAATAATATTTTCGTTGTTACATTTTACAACTGAAAAGGGTTTTTAACTTTTTATAATTGGTTTTATTTTGCAGGGAGGAGGGCACACTGCAGAGTATAAACCAGAGGAGAGCTTCATGTTGTTTCGAAGGTGGATACGTGGTCAACCTCTGTAGCATAGTGAGCTTCAAGCCTTCAACGAACCTAACATCATAGCTTCTTAAAGAATGTTATTTTCTAAATCTTATTTTCTTTGGAATTTTGTCAGTAATATAACACATGATTAAATGTTATTTCTAAAAATGTTTTTGCTTTAATAGTTTAAACTAGATTTTATCCCGTGCATCTGCACGGAAATTTTTTTTAATCAAAATTTGTAATCTAATTTATGTTTTCTTTATAAATATAAATTTTTAATAAGTGATATAAAAAAATTTGTATTTAGATATAATTTTTTTTAGTATAACCACCATGATCATAAAAACATAATTTTAACCCGGTTGTTTTAATAATCAAAAAGTGACCGTTATTATAAAAATATATTTCTAACTCGCTCATTTTATTAATCTGAAAAAAGACCATGATTATGAAGCCATAATTCTAACCCGCCCGTTTATATTACTTTATAATATAAATATTTAGTAATTTTGAAATAATTTTCTTCTAATATCTTGCATTCTTTGATAACCTAATCAGCATAAGACAATAATTATAAAAAAATTTAACTTGTCCCATCAAATTATTATATAATATTAATATTTATCTATTTTTAATATGTAAAATTTTAATCTGATAGAATATGATTAAAAAAATATATAATAAGATATTTGTTAATCATATGTGATATTCTGAAAATTTTATTTAAATTTCAAATGTTAAATTAAATCTAACCTATATTTAAGGAAGTCTATTTAAATTAATATCTATAAACTATAGATATAACATATATTTAAGAAAATTTTTAGTTATCTAAATTAGGAGAATTGCTAAAAATAGACCACAATTTGATTCCAAATGCAAAAGTATACCCCAAATTCAACCTATTGCAAAAATAGGTCAGAAGGGTAAAGAAATTACTATTATCTCCTACATGAGTAAACAAAAAACGGATGTCTCAATTACGATTATAACCTTGCGAAGTCTGCAAATATTAATGAAGTCTTCTCAGCAGACTGATAAAGAAGTCTACTATACTATTAAATCATATTTTAAATTTAAAAATTATATAAAAATAATGTAAACTGAAATTTGTTTTTATAAATCAAATGTCAACAAGTATGATCTATGAAAATTATAATTTAATAAAAATGAATCATTTTTAACCATCTAAGATAAACATAAAAAGTGAAAAGTTTTAAACTAGGGCTGCAGACTTCTTTATCAGTCTGCTCAGCAGACCGTAAAAGAAGTCTGCTATATTATTAAATTTTATATTTAAATTTTAAAATTATGTAAAAATAATATAAACTGAAATGTGTTTCTATAATCAAATATCAATAAGTATGATCTATATAAATTAGAATTTAATAAAAATTAAACATTTTAAACCATCTAAAATAAACATCAAAAGTGAATAATTCTAATTTAGGGTTACAGACTTCAAAAGAAGTCTACTCTATTTTTAAACTTTATATTTTAATTTAAAAATTATATAAAAATAATTTAAGCTGAAATTTGTTTTCATAAAACAAATATAAACAATGTTGATGTATATAAATTAAAAAGTAATATAACCAATTCAAATTAAACCAACAAAGATAAATATCTTTATTATAGGTTTTAATTTAGGGTTAAATATCTTTATTATAACCAATTCAAATTAAACCAATTCAAATTTATAGGTTTTAATTTAGGTTTTAAATTAGGGTTTTAATTTAGGTTAATTATAGGTTAAATATCTTTATTATAGGTTTTAATTAAAAATATCCGAATATTGCTATTTATTTTTGGTTTATGTACACATTTTGACATACATCCAGACTTTTGTATAGCACCGATAGCAAACTAGCTAAGTCGTTGTTATGCAAGAATCTCCAAAAATAGATGATTTATGAAATTGAAAATTATGAAAATGAGCATGAAAGAGTTTTTAAGATGAAATTGGAGAGAAATTTGTAAGTAAAATGAAGTTATAAGCGACACAATGAGCAGTTAGAGCTTCAAAATTGGTTAGGCAAACATTTAGAGCTTCAAAATTGGTTGGTAATGATGGTTGGCAAAATTTAAGAAGATGGCGTTTTCGTAAATAAGTGATATATTTTAGAATGGTTGTATATTTTTGGTATTTTTCAGAAAAAATAAAAATTGAAAACATGATGGCATTTTCGTGAATATATGTGGTTGTGAGGAGATAGTAGAGAGAAAATGGCATTTGTTGAAGAGGGAGAAAATAGATGTTAGATTTGCATTTGACTTCAATGTTGAGGTCATATGTGCAAGAAGCCCTCTAAATTAATATCTAATTTTTAAAGTTAAATTTATTTATATATAAAAATTAAAAAAACCTTTGTGAATGTTTTAAAACAAATACTAAGTTTCTGTTTTAATATAGTTTAAAAATGAAGGTACATTTGTAAACTTTACTTATTTTGACATCCCGTAAGACTTACAAATGTAAACCAAAAATAACAGATGTAACGAACTTTCTGGATAATTTATTTATTTATTTTTGACGGCAATTTTTGGATATATCTGATGAGAGAGAAAGTAAAAGCACAAAAACAAAACGAAGAAGAAATTGCTATAGAGAGAACAGGTTTAATCAAAACCAAATAAAGAAAGACACTATTTCGACTTGATCGGCTCGGCTATACTGCCCAGCCTTTAAGTAAACTCTTCCTTCTTTTTTCTGTTTTGTTGCCTGAAACGAAATCAAGAACTTAAAAAGGAGTTAATCAAGAATGTCTAGAGCATGGAAATTGAGGTTGCTTCTTCTCCTTCATCTGCTCCTCTTGACTCAACAGGGTGTTAATTCAGCCTCTGTGATTAGCTATCTTCCTGGTTTCGAAGGTCCTCTTCCTTTCCACCTTGAAACTGGGTCAGGTTCCTCTTCCCCTGCTTCTCAAGATTCATAAACTATCAATAACGCAACTGAATGGGTCTGAATCTTTGCATCTATCTTTCTTTCTTATGAAAAGCTATATTGCTGTTGGTGAGGAAGAGAAAGTTAAACTGTTCTACTACTTCATCAAATCAGAGAACAATCCTGAAGAAGACCCTCTTCTTATCTGGTTATCGGGAGGACCTGGTTGCACTTCTCTCTCTGCCCTTGCTTTTGAAATCGGTAATTTTCATTTTCAAGAAGAAAAATGAAAAAGATTTGACCTTTTTAGTTTGATTTTCTAAATCTATTCTTGTTTTTGTAGGACCTTTGACTTTCAAAACTGAGGGTAACAATGGAGGTTTAACTTCTCTTGTTTCCACTTCATATTCTTGGACAAAGGTCACTCCTTTAAACATTCACTATCACAAACTAGTTATAGGCTTGTTTTTTTGTTTCGGTTTTACCGGTATCAAGATTTTGTTTGTTTGATGATTTCTCAGGTAGCTAGCATAATATTCTTGGATCAACCTGTTGGGACTGGCTTCTCCTACTCAACAACTCCTCTAGCTGATAAGCCTAGTGACACAGGAGAAGCAAAGCAGACTTATGAGTTTCTTCGAAAGGTCTTTGCTTTCTTGAACCCTTTTCAGAGTGTTTTGTTGAGACTCTCAAGCATAGCTTCCATATTATAAATCTTTTTCTGAATTTTGTGTTGCTGTTGTTGTAGTGGCTTGTGGATCATCCAGAGTTTGTCTCAAACCCTTTTTATGTTGGCGGAGATTCTTATGCCGGTGTAGTTGTTCCAGCTATTGTTCAACAGATCTCAATAGGTTTGCTATATTTTTCCTTTGCCATTATAATCAATCCCCCAAAAATCAATCTTCTCTTGATTTAGTTTTACTTAGCCGTAGTTTATTACAGTCTTACACATTACCGTTAACGCAGGAAATGAGCATGGTTACAAACCTCTAATCAATCTTAAGGTTCATCAATATTCTTCACTCATATGTTTATCTTAACGTTATATATAGACTTATAGATATACGTATAGTTTGTTTGAGTTTCATTTTATACCAACAGGGTTATGTTCTTGGGAACCCGACAACAGATTATGATAGTGATTATAACTATAGGATTCCATATGCTCATGGAATGGGACTGATCTCTGACGAACTCTATGAGGTAAATATGAAGTCTTATCTAAACTAAAAAAAAAATATTGAAGTCTTATCACTAGTAAGTATTTTTTTCTATTGAAATAGTTTCTTAAAAATTTTGTTCGCAGTCGCTTAAGAGAAGCTGCGAAGGAAGTTATCTAAAAGTAGATCCTTCTAATACACAATGCTTGAAATTAGTGGAAGACTACGATAAGGTAAAAGTTGAACTCGAGTTTAGAATTGTGACTATCGAAGAGTACTAATTTGAGACTCTAATTTGTTGTTGGTGATGATGATCAACAGTGTATTTCAAGGATAAATCTCGCATTAATTTTGACACCATTGTGTGATCTTGAATCGCTGAATTCGTTTTCAAAATATCATCTTGGAAGAAGAGATCTTAGGGAACTTGTTCACTCACATCTTCCTCTTCAACCTCGTGATTGCTATGTAAGCAAAAATAAAATAAAAATCCATTTAACTGAGGTATAAAAGGGAAATCATTTAGCTAAACCATTAGATGACGAAATATGCAGTCTTATCGGTATTTGCTAGCTACAAATTGGGCTAATGATGAAGATGTACGCCGAGCACTTCATGTGGTGAAAGTATGTCACAATCATATACATACATATGCACATATATGTCATTAATTAATACCAAAAAGGCACTTATTTAAATGAAATGTGAAATATGCAGGGAAGTATAGCGAAATGGGTGAGATGCGACTGGGATATGGCTTATGAGAAAGATATAAAGAGCAGTATACCGTTTCATCAAAACATTAGCATCAAAGGGATTTATAGGTCATTGGTTTATAGTGGAGATCATGACATGATGGTGCCTTTTCTTGGAACTCACGCTTGGATCAAATCTCTAAACTATTCGATCATTGATCACTGGAGGCCATGGTTTGTTGACAATCAAGTTATCGGATACACAAGGACTTACGCCAACAATATGACATTTGCCACTATCAAAGCAAGTCCTTGTTCCTTTTGTTTTCTCATCAAATGTTTTTTTTTTTTTTTTTTTTTTGGTTTTTTGAATGTTTTTGTCGTTACATTTTACAATTGAAAAAGTTTTATATATATATAAATTGGTTTCATTTTGCAGGGAGGAGGGCACACTGCAGAGTATAAACCAGATGAGAGCTTCATGATGTTTCAAAAGTGGATACGTGGTCAACCTCTGTAACATAGTGAGGTTCAACGAATACAAACATCATGATATATATAGCTTTATAAAGATCAAATAATTCACCTTTCTCAGTTCTCTCACGAGGGCGAAGCATAGATAGAATGCTTCCAAACAGCTGCTTCCGGCCTTCACGAGTTTCTGAATATTACCGGCCAAACTTCATTAGATTTGGTATGGAAAGAGCAGAACTTTAATCACATTAGGTCATGAGTTGGAATCTTTCGTACTTTCGTAGTATTAGTACATGTTTTTATTTTTCATGGTTTCTTTGAATATTGATATATATTGGCCCAGAAAAAAAAAATATTTTGCTTCTAGCCCACATACAGGAAAATTATGGTTTAATATCGTATATTGCTTGGAGAATCTGGAAAATGAGGAATAAACTTGTTTTTGAAAACAAGAGAGAATTCATTCCTCAGGTTATCAATAAAGCATTAATGGATTATCACTTATGGGATTTGTCCAAACATGGAATGAAGAGAATCAATCCAATAACTGTCATCGTCGACAGAACCATCATTTGGAGAATGCTCATGATGGCTATCAGCTAAGTAATAGATATTGCTGATATGTAGATGCATCATGGACATCATCTGCTGTGAATGCAGGTATTGCTTGGTCCTTATACCGTATCAATGGAGAAAAAATTATGCAAGGCAGCTCATCAATTGAACCAGTACGTAGTATCTCCATTAGCAGCTGAAGCAAGAGCATTATTAAGGGCAATTCAAGAAATGAGAATACTAGCTTATGAAGAAGTCTTGTTTGTTGGGGACAACAATGTTCTTTTTAGGAGCGTTAATGCAATGCACAACTCGAGAAAGAGACAATATTGGTGTCACCCAGATATATCAATAGAAGTCAAAGACATTGTTAAGATATCATGTAGGGGTATGAGATGTTCATTTATGTATGTTAATCGTAATGTTGTATGGGAAGTTGATAGGCTTGCTAAGATAGCTAGAGAGCAAGTTCAAAGCTATAAAATATCTTGGTATGTAATGTAAACTTTGTATTCACAGTTGTTAATAATATAGTTTGCCGATAAAAAAAAAGCCCAATATATGTCAGGTTTGGCACAGCTTCCAATGCAAGGAAAAGAAGATAGGATGGGATGGAAAATCGAGGGTGAGAGCCTAAGACCTAAAAGGATCAGCAATGCAAGCACTCCTAATGGAGTACTTAAGCAATAAAATATTATTAACTGGATCTTAAGAACTTTAATTAAAAAACTAAGATAATGCTGTTTCCAATGGAAAAATCCTAATGTGGTTCTTAAAAAAAAATCCAGATCCTAAAAGAGTTGGCGGAGACAAACCGAGTCCAACTCGTGATGTTTCAGATGATAATAATCCAGACCCCAATTCGGTTTATAAGGCGGAGGCGGCGAAGGAAGGATTGGAAGCGAGTCACTCGAGCAAGTTAGGCGAGACGGTGATGTTGGGAAGAAAACGGAAACGACAGAAATTCAGTGCCGGCAGCAAGAATAATCACGAAGGTGGCACCAGCAGGATCAGATCGATGCAACTCGGTGATTTCATCGAACAAAACGAGGAGAAGAAGAGAAATGAAAATTTTTTTTTGTCAATGCAGCTTTTCCTCTCTGTGTATTAACTCATGCCACGTAGCCCATAAGAATTGGTGCTTAGAACATCAGCAATAGTAGTACCCTATTAGAGATGCTTAACAATATAATAATGTTAAATTTAAGTTAAGTACCTCTATTAAAAAAGAGTAGGATTCTGTTCTCCAATGCAAGAACCTCTGGGATAGTGGGATTCCTAAAAAATTCTAATAGAAGTCCATTTTCTGCGCCGGAGATGGAGATGAAGAAACCAGCGATCGCGAAAAAGACGCCAGAGATGGAGAGGAAGGCGGAGGAAACTGTGAGATGCTTATCGTAATCCATAAAGGGGACACACACCAAGCTTATTGAGTTAAAGGCTATATTCAGAAAACTCTGTAGGATTGAGGAGAAGCAGAGGAGAAACACTTAATCAAACCAAATCGGCGGCGGAGGTTGGCGATGCAGGTTGGCAGACAGAGGTTGGCGACCAAATCGGCGATGGAAATTAGGTGGTTGGCGACCAAATCGGCGGCAAAGTGAAGACGGAGAGATCAAGGAGGAGAAGCGTAGTCGCATAAAAGAAAATAGTTGTTTTTCTTTTCAATAAATCTAACCAATCATGAATAGACACCTAGCCCTTAAGAATCGATGCTTATTAACCAATTAAAAGTCTTAAATAAGAATCGATTCTTGAATTATTGACTAGTTTTGATTTAATTTTATTCTAAAAAATATTAAGTTCTCCTCTTTATAACTTGCGTTGCTGATGTTCTTATGAGTCTTATTTAAGTATTTGTATTTTATTTTGTTTTGGATTTTTATTTGGGTCTAAGCACCTCTTATTTTTGGGTTAAGCATCTGCGTTGTTGATGCTCTAAACTCTGATTGGTGATAATCTGAAGTGCGGTTTTAAAAAAAAAAATTGGAAAAACGCAAATATATACGAATCACAAATTTGTTTTAATAATTGGCATTTTACAAAAAACCTTCCAAAATTGATTCATGGTTTTCGAATGACATAATTTTCTCTTGCACCGTTTTTTTGAATTCTTCACCTATATCCAATGGTTCAATAATCATGTACTGATTTTTTTTTATGTTTAATTTGAAGATTTTTATATTAATAAAAAGCTGATGCAATTTGGTTTGGAAATAAGTTTTTTACAACACATTCGTTTACATTTACTTGGAAAAAACAAAAATACAAATCTTCTATTATTTCTTTTTGCAATCATTTTTTTTTGCTCAACATCAATTTTTATTTCTCCAAAAAGTGATATTAATTATATATATCTTAACATACTGAATGATCCAATTTGGCATAAGAGAATACAACCTAGTTTCTGATTTAAAAAAAAAGATATTTTTTAATAGATTAGTAAAATTAATTTTAATAAAGTAGCATATAATATAAAAAAATAAGTTATGTAGTAATCCATTTATAAATTTAGAATATCTAATACATGCAATTTAACTACATAATTTTAAACCCTTATTTAAAAATAAATTTATAATTTAAATTTTATAAATATATTGAAAATGTTTCTTTATCAATACAAAATAAATCATTTAATTACAATGATATTAATTATTTACATATATATTTATCATCTACAATTTATAATATGTACCACTTGTTGCCTTATTCGCCATTTAAACATTTTAATATAGACCGCAAGCTATATTTTCACTAATCAATCATTATTTTGTACCGCTTATTAGGTCTGATTAGTGAAAATGTTTTTAGTTGTGCGGGAAAAATGGTTTAAGAGTGTGATATGGTTCAATTGCGGTACATGCAGGAAAATAAATTTGCGGGATAAGTACGGTTTGTATATAATAAGCGGTACATAATAATATTTGATTGGTGAAAGAAATTAATATACGGTGTAAATTTTTTTTGTTAGATGTTATAAAAAAATAAACTTAATATTTTTGAATAGAACTGAATATCTCAACAAAATTAAAATATCTAAATTTTTTTATTTAAAAAATATTTTTTAATTAAAAAACGCACTAGATACAACAAAACACCATAAAAGAGGTGTGTAATTACTATACACTACGTATTTCACTTTTTCTTCACAAAACTGATTTATTATATTAATATTTTAATTAAAAAAGAAAAGACAAAAAACGCACTACAACTTGATCAAAATGGTTGAATGGTAACATATAAATGAATTCAAAATTTTCCTAAAAACCACACCATTAAAATGTCACCATTCATTATATACAAACTGCATTTGTTCTGTAAATATATTTTCCCGCATGTACCGCAGTTGAACTATACCACATTCTTAAACTGATTTTCCCGCACAACCAAAAACGCGGTCATCATTCGGACCCTAAGAGTGTGAATGGTGAAAAGTGAAAAACGTTTTTCATAAAGAAAAATGTAAAACCTCAGAAAAGTCACCAATCAGACAAAAGTTGTCAACAATTTACGTTTTTTTGTTAATAAATCACAGTTTTATCCAATGATTTAAAGGGTGGACCGCCTTTCAAAAAAACACAACTTTTATCCTGTAGTTCTTCGAAAAACGCAATGGATAATACATATTTTCTTTTATTTTAATTTAAATATTTAATTATAAAATTATACTATAAATATCAACCAATAATTATGCTACAAACTACACACAGAAAAACCAAAAAGAAAAAAAAAAAACGTAAAGAGAAAGAAGAGTAAAGAAAAAAAATTCTCATTTTTTTCTTCTAACAGCTTAATTTTCCATCAGGTAAGTTTTATATACATCAATAATTTTAATTTTATTTCTATACCAATCATAGATATGTTATAATAAAACTTAATTAATATTATTTTATATTATTGCATTACATCATTTAACTAATTGAATCATATTTACATTAACAATAAAATTAAATTGTGTTCTAAATTTGATTAATTTAAATTAAAATTAAAGTAATATAAATTATGATTTAAATATTAAAATTAGAATAAGTTTTATTTAAGTTAAATTAGTCATTTATATGTAAATAAGTGTGTTTTTTAATAAAATTAAGAATGATGTACTTTTCAAAATAAAAATCAGTTTACAATTTTTTCTAAAATTTTCCCTATATTTCAAGATCAATTTTTTTTAAAAAAAAATTCTGTGTTTTGTTATTTTTTGGTGTTAGTTATATATAGTAGACGTTAGTTAAAAAAAATTGAATTAAGTATAAACATTATTATTAAAATAAAAAAAAATAATCATTTAGAAATATATAATATTAGTTATTACGAGGTAATTATTTTTTTTATAATATTAATTATTTTTTTTACGAGGTAATTAATAATAGGGTGATTTGCATCAATATTACTTCTGGAAAAACGAATTAAATAACTAACATGGAAAAATAGTTAATTAAGTGGGTAGCACAAGTCAACGAAAAAAAGTAAGTGGAAATGACATTACACTCTTTGTTCCCTAAATCTAAACATCGCTTTTTCTGACAGAGATTGGGACCACACTTACTTACCAGACGCAAACATTACCTATTTTTGGAATAATAGTAGCGTAAACTTTATTCGTACTTTAGCATCCTTCATACGTTGTTGATGTTTTATAATGTATGTAGGACTAAGTTAATTATTATTTTCTCTCTCCACCATTCTTCTCTTTCTCTCCGTTATTCTTCTCATCTTCTTCTTTTCTGTTTTTTTTTTCTAAACACAATATTCAGAACGAGTGAATTTTAGGTAGTGCAGCACTGATTTGATTAATCTAATTTTGCAATTTAGCTTTATGATTTTTATTTTCTCAAGAAATTATACACGATACCTTTTTGCTCAAATCATTTGAAATATGAGGTAACTCTATAGCATAATTGCCTATTTTCAAACAAACAAAAAAATTGACTCAGAGTATAGGGTTATGTAGTAAACAACTATTTTCATAAAAAAAAAAACTGCATCCTTCTAGTTTGCAATTTAAGAACTTAAGAACTCAAGGTTTAAGAATAACTCTCTTGTTGCTTTAGAAAACTAACTAAAAAAATAAAGCCCTCAAACTCTATTAAGTTATATCACAAGTTGATATCTCATTATATAAAGAGGGATTAGATAACTCCTAATTCCCATAGAAATATAAATTTCCTTTCTTAGATAACTCCTAAGAATATTTCATATTCCTAATATCTTGCAAGTCAAGATAACTTCAAGCTTAATCCAACAATCCTCAGATGAACATCCTCTCACTCTAAAATTATGAGACATTGTAGATGATATTTTCTATGGTTGCACCAAGTTGAAGATAAATAGACATATACCAAGTAGTCACATATCACTTCAGTATAGACGTTTTTTTCAATTATAATTCTTTCGATCTTTGTTTTAATATATTTATAGTAGATGACTACTAATATGTGACTATGTTTAAAATGTA